GCCTCAAGAATTTTCTAGGTAAAATGGAGACAATGTTGCCTGTCACCCAGAGTTTCATGGGCCTGGTACACAGGAAGGCTCATTAACTGGAAGCCGTTGCTGTCATTATTCTCAGGAGTCCAGGCCCTGGCCATGGTATTTGAGAGGACATCCCTGGTAATCTTGGTGACGGCAGGCTCAGAAGACTGTCAAGGGAGGAGGGGGGATAGTGACAGGCCAGGAAGCCACCACTATCAGCTGGGGGCAGTGGTCTGAGGCCAGGTGACCAGTGTCCACTCCCTGAGGGCTCACTTGCCAATCCCAAGATCCCACCCCCGTGCTGTGACCACACCCCTGCCCCCAGCAGAGTTAGTCCTATGCAGGGAGAATCGAAGGGCCCTGAAACCCATTCCCTGGGCCACAGCCCTCACCTTAGCCTCCAGCCGCCTCTGGAGCTGCCCCAGGACTGTGGCCCTGCCCTTCTCCTCCAGGGGGACTAGGAATACAGCCCAAGGAAGGCTGGGAAGTGGATGTGCAGGACCCTCCAGCTGTCCAGCCTTGAACATGCTGTCCTCTCCCCAGGCCCCACCTGCCTCAGCCTAGAGCCTGGGGCTTTTAGCTAAGGAAGACGCCCAACAATAACAAGCAGCCCAGGTGGGAGGCAGAGGAAAGGCTCCTCTGGAAGGGGAAGAAGAGAAATCTGAAATTCATGCTGGCTGCAGGCAGCCCAGGTGCAAACTTTGGTCAGGTTTAAATTCCATGAGCAGAAGGCAGCTCGGGTTTCTGGACCTCCTGCCCCTTGGCCCTGGCTGTCGATGTTCTTCCAGCTTCTCAAAAGGGGTTCTGGAGTGGGGGGAGCCACTGTGAGTGGACTCTGGCCCCCAGGTGGACACCAGAGTCCATACGCTGGCTGGTCCTGTCTGGAAAGTCCTCGAAGGCCCTGAAGATACTCCGGCGGGTGGCTGCCTACAATGGCAAGAAGGAAGAGGGACAAAAGCTCAGCTTGGAGGTAGGGACTGATAGGGACTGCAGTCTGGGGGCAGGACCCCTCTGCTCCACTCTGGGCCTGGCCCCTCCCCTCCTCTGTTTCCCCTGCTCACGGCCTATACCACATCTCTCCCCTAAGCCGGCTCCTCTAGAGCACCAGGCCTGCACCCTCCCTCTCTTCTTCCTGCCCACCAACTGGTCACTAATGGCACCCTTCTCCCTCCTCTGCCCCAAGGAGCTCAAACACAACCTGCAGAAGGAGATGTCCTTGGCCAAGGCCAAGTACAGTGCAAGTGATCTGTTCCGGACACCCATCCTGCGCCGCGTGACCTTCTGTCTTTCCCTGGCCTGGTAACCCACCACCCCTCCTTGCCCGTACCCTGCCAGGGCGGGGTGCTGAACAAGGCCTCCGGCAGGCTCACCACAGGGCAAGCCTTAGGGCATCTGCCAGAGACGTCACAGAATCCCCTCTCCTGGGCCACCACAGCCCAGCCCCACACCCAGGTCCAGCCATTGGGCTCCCAATGGGCTCCCCCTGGGCTCCCAATCCCCTGCCCACAGAGCAAATGGTCCAGACCCCTTCACCAGCCCACACCCCTGCCCTGCAGTTTCCCCATGCTCTCTCTGCCACTGCCCCCCTGTGGTCCAGCTCTCCCCTCTGGAACCCCCTAGAGCAAGGCTGGCCTGCTGGGCTTCAGAGTTGAAGACAGAAATTATGCTTCTTGCGAGTTTTCTCTTCTGTCTGACATTCTACAGCTCCCTCAAAGCCCTTTCCGTGATCTAGCTCTGAGTCCCTTCTCCATCCTGGCCATCCCCATACAAACGGGATCCAGTGTGTCCAGGAACCCTTGAAAGAGGATCCCATGGTTCTGAGAGGGAAGGGAGGAATAACTGGCCCGCGTGCACGGCTCAGCATTCACCTCCCCTGTGTGGATGCTAAACCACTCCCCGGCCAAGAGATCACATGCTGCCTCCTTTGGTCTCTGGAGTTCCCTCCAGTCTTGATTCCTAGAGTCAGTTATGGGCACCGTTGCCAGCACATCATGGGCTGTGCCCACATCAGACGTGGCCCATCAATCCCAGCACTTCCTCACTGAGCCCAAACAGGATCTCAGGAACCTCAAAACAGCACTCAGGCAGCCCCTGCCATCAGTTGCATTTGGCACAAGAAATGAAACTGTTCATCATCTTGGTGACCCAGTGACCAGGGTGGGTACTAACCAATCCCTCTCTGCCCCTCAGGTTTGCCACCGGTTTTGCCTACTATAGTTTGGCTATGGGTGTGGAAGAATTTGGAGTCAACCTCTACGTCCTCCAGATCATCTTTGGTGGGGTCGATGTCCCAGCCAAGTTCATCACCATCCTGTCCTTAAGCTACATGGGTCGGCACACCACTGAAGCCGCCTGCCTGCTCCTGGCGGGAGGGGCCATCTTGGCTCTTACCTTGGTGCCCTTGGGTGAGAGGCTGGGGCTACTCCAGAACCCTCTGGAAGAGCTGCCACAAGCCAGAAAGCGGGGTACCAGGGTTTTCGGTTCAGCTGGCTCTGCTTCTAATTCACCGTGTTACCTTGAGCAGGTCCCTGTACTCTCTTGGGCTCAGGTCTGTCATCTAGAAAATAACTTAATTGGGCTAGATGACATCAAAGTTCCTTTCCAGATCTGACTTAACTGGGCAAAGTATGGTGGAGTCTGAACAGTGTGACGAATTGCTTGGGGACTGGACATGTCCTGGGTGTCATTACTGCAGAGGACAAGCTGAGATGTGGAAACAACAGAGCCCAGTGCTCAAGGAAGACCCCATAACTACTCCACCATGACCTTGGAGCACTTTTATTTTCTATAGATGTTTGTTGGTTGATACACCTACATCCTTCCAAAGGAGCTTGAGGTATTTTAGGACAAGAATATATATAACAAAATGTAAATGGGAACAGGGAATCAGAGCCCGGAGAAAACACAAACACAGCAGGACACAAGCATGGAAAGCATTAAGAATAGCAGAGGGGCTATTACTCATCTTTAGGTTTGGATCTGAGCAACCTGGCAGCCAAAGCAAAAAGGGAGACAAGGTCTGCTAAGGAGTGAGAACACTCAGGTGCTCTGGAACTCCAAGATCCACCACATTTTCTTCCCTCTGTAGACATGCAGACCCTGAGGACAGTCATAGCTGTGTTTGGAAAGGGATGCCTGTCCAGCTCCTTCAGCTGCCTTTTCCTCTACACAAGTGAACTATACCCTACGGTCATCCGGTAGGTGCTGGACCTGGGGATGGGCCCACCCAGAGGACACAGGGTCAGGTGGGACTGTGGCATCCTCCTGCCCCATGCCCCCTGCCCAGGGGTCCCAGAGCCAGCCTTTATGAACCCTACACACAGGCTGCCAATCCCTGCTCTGAACCCTCCCAGGCAAACAGGTATGGGTGCAAGTAACATGTGGACCCGTGTTGGAAGCATGTTGGCCCCACTGGTGAAAATCACGGGTGAGGTGCAGCCCTTCATCCCCAATGTCATCTATGGGATCGCCGCCCTCCTGGGGGGCAGTGCTGCCCTCTTCCTGCCTGAGACGCTTGATCGGCCCTTGCCAGAGACTATCGAAGACTTACAAAAATGGTCAGTCTCCTACCTCTGGCCCCCATCAGTGCTCCTCCCTGGGAAAGCAGGTCTAGGCCCAGGACTTTCTTGAGCTCTCTATCCCTAGGTCCCTGCAGGCAAAGGAGCCAAAGCAGGAGCCAGAAGCAGAAAAGGCATCCCAGATGATCCCTCTGCAGCCTTATGGACCAGGCCTGGGCTCCAGCTGAAGACAACAGAACCCCCTTTCCCTGCCCTCCAGAGACTAATCCCAGCCAAGGCCCTGCCTGCCTCTGAGCTCCTTGAGCACCTTGGAGGTTGGAGCAGAGGATCCTGGAGAGGTCCATCCACCCAGGACAAAGCCTTCTGAGAGCCTGGTGAAGGCATCTCTGCTATCACCACCACAGTCCCCAGCCCGACCCTGGCCAGTTTAAAGGGTCAGCCATAGACCTTCCCATACCCAGCCCTGTCCTCAACCTCCCTGCAACCCAGGCCCTGCCAATCTCTTTGTCCAGCCCTTCCCTACTGGCCACCTTCCCCCATTGTCCCAGACCTCTTTCCCTGAGGTCTTCTGAGGTCTCCTGGCTCAGTCCTAACAAGATTAAGTCCTAACAAGACAACAAGCCCTCCTCTTCTTGCCTTCCACCCTTTTCTTCAATGGGAGGTTTCAATAAACGGCAATAAGAACTCAAGCCATGATGCTCAGGGATGGAGGTGGAGATGGGGGGCAGCCACCACGTGGACATGTGAGCATCCACATCCGCCCGCCCTTACTTGCATGTACATACAGGCCTGTGTATGGGTACATGGGTGCATGCAAGCTGGACTGATGTGAACATGTGCATGCATGTTGAATGCCCTCAAGGGTGTGTACAGCAGGCCTGTGCATGGAAACACCATGTGTGTGTCCCAGCATGCATGTGAACAGAGGATGGACCAAGCCCAGAGTGGCTACAGACAGAAGCCAGTGTTCCTCCTATCCTGATTCTCCTCCCCTGCCTGCCCCAAATCTCTGATCCGTGTCCCAGGCCCAAGCCCAGCAGATGGTTTTGTCTCCTCTTTAACCGAGAAACCTGCAGCCATAGCTGAAGGCTGTCAATGTATGCAGCCATGTCCCTGGTTCCCTCTGGCCACGGCAGAAGGTCCAGTCCTCCCACGGGGCTCTGCCTCCAGCCTGTCCCACCAGTGCCATCCCTTTCCCCTTGGGTCTGTGCCATTCCCTCTCTCCTGGCTCCTTCCCATCACCAGGTAAACAAGCTCGGTCCTCTCCCATCTTAACAAAAAGCAAAAACAAATTTAAAAACCCTCCCTAGATGCCGTATCTCCTTCCAGGGGCCACATTGGTTCTTTCTCCCCTTTGAAGCCAAACTTCATAAAGAAGCTGTCTGCCCCCTGCATCGACTTTATAGCCTCATACCTCTCCTCACTGTGCTCTGCCTTCCACCCCTCCCTCCCTGGAACTGTTCACCACGGACGGACGGACGTTCCTCAGCTCCCTGTGCCTGCCGGTCCACGGAGGCTCACTCTGCCTCTCGGCAGCTTTGGCCCCAGCAGTCACTCCTTCCTTCCTTGGCTTCCGGGATGCCACATGTTCGCAGCTCCCTCCCACACACCGGCTGTTCCTTCTCAGGGTCCTTTGGGGTCTCCTATGAATGCCTCCGTGGTCACTTTTCCTATGCAACCCCCACCCCTTCTCCAAGGGTCTGCATCCCCAGAATGCTGCTAACTGAGCAGTTCCGTGACCTCCACTTCCGGTCGTGACTGACTAGACCAGAGGGCACTCCGGATCTAAGTCACACGATCACATGTTCCCTCCTGGGCTGGGATTTGAGATATAGAGGTTCTCGTCTGACTCTTGGTCCTTGCCCTGGGAGGGCGAGTTCTCATGAGGCTGGGCCGGGCCAGATGCAAGTGGAGCAGAGAGAGCCAGTTGCAGCAAGAGAATAAAGCAGATGCACAAAGAAAACGAAAACAAGAGACTACGCGGGCCCAGATGAGAAGAGCTGGTGAGACTATTTACATGGGTTCCTGGTGAATTCCAGGTCTCAGTTCCTCATCACCCCTGATGCACTTCCTGCCCCTGGCTTCTATTAAATATCCCTGAATTCTCCAAATAAATTTCCCTTTTTGTTTAAGCTAACTGGGGTTGGGGGACGGAGCATGCTTCTGTTCCTTGTAACCAAACAATTCCAAAAGCAGCTCCTCTTCCTCTATCTTCTCTCAAACGCTGATGTTTGCAAACCTTTCCTAGGACCTCTTCCCTAACATTCTTCCCCAGCACTTCCCAGTAGAAATGTAATGCGAGCCACGTATGTAATTTAAAATTTTCTAGTAGCCATTTTTTAAAAGTTAAAAGAAATAGGTGAAATTAACTATAATGGTATATTATTTACCCAATATAATAATATTTTATTTAACCCAATATATCCAAATATTACCATTTCAACATTAATCAATATAAAAGTTATCAATTTTATAGTCTTTAATGACAACTAAATCTTCAAAGTCTGGTGTGTATTTTATACTCACAGCATATACCTCAGTTTGGACTGGCTCAATTTGAGCGCTTAGCAGCGGCTACTGGCTACCGTATTGGACACTGGACACACTGCAGGGCTTTAATTATCAGCCACAGAGCTGGTTATTCTCAAATCTGTATCTAGAGAGTTCAGAGAGAGCTTCATAAACATGAAAGAAATTATATTGCATCCCTGCTTCAGCCTCCCGGTAACTTTCCATTGGGATAAAGTCTAACCTCTCTTACAAAGCCGGCCATGACCAGGCCCCAACCTGCCTCGGTGGCTCGGTCCTTCGCACCCTCCACCCCCTACTCTGAAATCCAGCCTCATCTGGCTTCTTTCAGTTCCTAGATGGTCCCTGCCCTTCTCACAGGCCCAGCCCTTGACTTCTCCCCATCCAACCCCCACGGCACTTGGCTCACCCCAACTCATCCTTGAGGCCTCAGCTTGGCTCACTCTTTCTGAAGAGCCGCCTGTGACTCCCCAGAGCTGGGCTAGGCGCCCTGCTTTTCACACACTGAATTGTGATCGCAGTTGTGTCTTAGTGTGGGTTTCCCCAGAAGCAAACCCCAAGACAAGGGTGTGAGTGCAGGCACTGTAGTTTATTTGCAGGAGATTCCAGCAAGCATGCGCAGGGGAGTCAGGGGTAAGTCAGAGAAGGGAAGCCAGAGTCCAGAGGAGAGAGAAAGGTCACCCATGCCAGCCCGTCTGTCTCCCAGCCATATGGGAAACTGCTGGGACCGGCTGTTTATGATCGTTTTGGAAGCAGGGAATCCCCCTTTGCCAACCTGTAGATAATCTGGGGCTGGCACCTAGGACCAGCCTTGTGCCACACTGTCCAGTGAGATCTGGCCTTTGCTATGGACATTACCAGACCCCACCTGGCTTCTACCTATGGACTTTCTACCTTGGAGCCTAGGCTCTGCTGACAACAGGACCAGCAATGCCTCCCCTTAGTTTAACTGGATCTTAACCTGGAGGAGAAAAAGTGGGCTCACTGAGAAACACTGACCCCACCCTCCCCCATCTTTCAGTTGTCCAGAGCTCAGGGTGGCTGCCAGGATGTCCTGGCCATGACCATTCCTGTGATGCTCCAGGGTGTTAATTGCAAGGACACACAGGAAAGGAAGGGAAGACACCCAAGAAGACCTTCCCGGTTGCATGGTCGGGACTCATGGTGAGTGGGATGCTGCTCAGGACAGATTGGCCCTCACATGACCAATCCTCTTGCAATACCCAAATCCCCATCCTTGACTCCTCCCTCTCTCCATTGCCACTTTTTCCTCTACAACCCCAGATCCTCTTGCTTCCCCTGCTCCCTTCTCTCTGTCCCGGAGTGAGGATCCCTCCAGGCTCAAGGAATTGCCATCCAATGTGAACCACCCCTTCTGGGCAGAGTCCTCATGCTGGGCCACCTCATTGGTTACTAGCTTCATGACCAGCCTTTAAATGGCAATCTTTGGATGAGTTTCTGATTTCTGCATCACAAGGCACAAAGCACAGAGTTTGGCTTAGAATTCCTTGCTCAGAATGTTGCTGTGGGTCTGGCTGGTACTTCAAGTCTACTGGACTCCTCCCTTGGTCAATCATTTCAAACCCATGCTTAGGGCATGTGATCTGAGCAAGATGTTTTATTTGATCTGTAAATTATTTATTTGAAAAGCCTGGCCAGGCATGCTGGCTCACACCTATAATCCCAGCACTTTGGGAGGCCAAGATGGGAGGATTGCTGGAGCCCAAGAGTTTGAGATCAGCCTGAGCTACATAGTGAGACCCTGTCTCTACAAAAAAATTTTAAAACAGCAGGTCATGGTGGTGCACGCCTGTAGTCCCAGCTACTCAGGAGGCTGAGGCAGGAGGAGCAATTGAGCCCAGGTGTTCAAGGCTTGAGTGAGCTATGATTGCACCACTACACTCCAGCCTGGGTGAAAAGAAAGACTCTGTCAAAAAAAGAAAGAAGGAAGGAAGGAAAGAAGGAAGGAAGGAAGGAAGGAAGGAAGGAAGGAAGGAAGGAAGGAAGGAAGGGAGGGAGGAAAGAAGGAAGGGAGGGAGGAAAGAAGGAAGAAAGGTCTCACAAAATAATAAAAATCAACATCACAGGTAGTCCCACATTTTAAATCCCATTTATTTAATAGAATAAAGTCATACAAAATCAGGACTTGCCCCAGAAAATCCGGGGTATGTGATGGCTGCTAGCTCAGTAGGAAGAGCAATGGCGTCAAGAGAGGGAGTTCTGGACTCACTTGCCATGTGATCATGGACAAATCCCTCGCTTGCTCTGGGCCTCAGTCTCCTCATCTGCACAGTGGGACGTTTTCATCTAAGTGGTGGCATTCAACCCAGATGGCGTGTGGTTCTGTGGCTCTGGGCCAATCAGAAATCCCCGGATTGGACGCCTTCTCAGTGAGCACGGCCAGATTTTAAGTCCACATTCCAGTCAGCGCAAGGAAGCCTGATTCTGAGTTTTTAGTGACCCAGAAGGTCCCTAAGGGATGGTTCCCAGCTCTGCAAATGGTTTGCCATGAGAGCATTTCCATTCAGAAACTCCCCATGCGCTGGGAGGCTGCCAGGGAATCCCCCTGCCACTCAGATGATCTCAGGAGCCAAACACAATCCAGGCCCTGGAGTCTCCAATGGAGCCTTTTCCAGTCTCAGCCAGGCTAGGAGAGGGTCAGGCATTAGGGAGCTCTTCTCCAAGGCGGGGTTGGGCACAGGCTTGAAGAGGGAGGGTGCTTGTAGGAACCCCCATCCCCCTGCAGCC